TAATGGCTGCCTGTTGGCGGTTCGTGAATCTTACGCTGTTATTCCGCAGTAGCTGATGGATTGCAGCTCCCATTCCGGACCGTTCCCGAAAGAGTCGGTTCTGAAGGATTTACTCCGGGTTTGCGAAAGTTACACAAGACCATTGCTTTTTGTTCTCTTCATCTCTTGACAACTTTTGGTACTTATCTGTGTGCATCTGTGGATAGATATCTTCTCCCGTCGTCAAACCTCTCCACAGCAGCTTGCTGTCGATACACACGAGTTTGAAAACGCGTAAAGGACATCCTAGATCATTTACATCATGACGTCTAAAGGCTTTAAGTTCAATAATAGCGTCACATTTGTCGTCTTCAATTAGGCTTTAGAAAGATTCCGGCTTTGTAAATGCTTTAAGACATATTAGTGTTCCTAAGAAACTTCCTTTTCCGGTGTTATTTGAGTTTTTGGCTTAACCGAGTTCTCCGGAGCTGCGGTTTGCGACGGAGCTGCGGAGCTTGCGGCTTAATACATCCACCATATGGACTCCAACTTATCCCAAAAAGACCTTTAGAAGAGCGTTGACGGATCCGCTCTCTGTAGCAAGGGGTACGCACTTAGCCTCTACAGAGAGCTTACTTCGTTAATACAGTTTCCAATTTCTGTAACGCATTCGTACAACTAATACAGTCTGTAGAATCGGTGACCCGTACATGATCGTAGAGTGCTTTAACCCCTATCGCATTTACAGGGCAACGCCATATGCGCTGACACAGGAGAGTTGTTCTGTCTACCTACAACTCGTAAATTTTTCCGACTTAGTCAAATAATACAGATCCGGACAGTAAATTGGTTAATATGATTTTGGTGTTATTTTATTGACTCAAGTTAACAATGACTACTGGGATGCGGGTCCCATTTGCCTAATTTAGAACACTGATGGCTTTTTTGTTGTTTTAAATGTAATGTCAGAGTTTCAGCTTGACTTATAAGTAGGATGTTTGCCACCAAGGTATGAGCAAACATAGCTGCATCACAAGCGTTATAATATCCGTCGTGGAAATATTGGATTTTCCCTGCCAGAGCTGAGCATAAAAATACACCATTCAGCATTTTTTCCTCTTAACCACTGCATAGTTGGCCTTGTTCGGAGGCGTACATGCTGAGGAATAATTGCCGAGTTATGCAATTTGGATGCGCTTTATAGCAGGCGCGAATAAAAGACAATTTTAATTATAGACTAGCTGTGCTTATTCAGATCCGCATTCGCATTTAATTTACCGAATTTGCAACATTACGTTATAACAAGCGTCGTTTTTATGTCTATATGTATCCGCACTTTGCTGTGAGGGGTAAACTGCAGCCACGAAAAAGTCCAGATCAATACGTATATGTTGTAATTGTCTTGCTGCTAACACAGCAGGTGATGTATACAGACGCTTGAACAACAACTCCCTTTTCAATTTTTCTTTTGTTTGCCTTAACGCTTGGGGTGTAGGGGTGTTCTGTTATCGGTTCCAAGTAAAGTTCGTGGCAGGTCGCATCGTTTATTTAATGCAGGTGGTGACTATGCCTAACGTAAATTATTTGGCACACAACTTTCATCTGTAACTCCCCGAAGCTAGCCTCTGCCTACAGACATCCTGCCGGTAGCTACCTCGGCGGGTTAAGCCAGATGAGGGTATCCTGTGCCATGTGCTCTCCACACCCGGTAATTCCTTTCTATCCCCGTCTCTCCTCCCCCCTCCTTTCCTTCCTTACCTTCCTTTCCACCCCTTCCCCTGGTCCCTCCCTCCCCTTTCCATTGCAAGAGGTCCTACAAGGAGGTCGATATGCTTTTCCGTAGGCGGCTCAGTCCAACTAGGGTTGTTCTTCCAATAAATCAATCCGTGACCCACAATAGATTTCGGCAGCCGCCGGGATGTCTGAGCAGCTTTATTTGCCGACAGCACTGTTTACCCCCTCGCGGTGGAAGGGGGTGAGTCCGCTCGCTCTGGCAGCCTGGAATGTATGTTTCCTTTAAGACAACTCAAAGAGCAACCGATCGGAACGGAGAAAGGCGTTAGTCGCGCGAGAACTGACGCTCTACCAAGTGGAATTTGGTACTCTCAGCGAGACCGGCTTCTCCGAACAAAGCCAAATATGGGAGGTGCGTGGAGCCTACACCCTTTTCTGGAGCGGCCGGCCAAAGGCCGAGCGACGTGACGCAAGTGTCACATTTGCCATTCGGAACGACATCGTCGAACGACTGCCATGCCTGCCGCAGGGCGTCAAAAACTGTCTCACGAGGTCGCAACTACCTCTTTGGGAATCCATATTCGTCACCATCCTCAGTGACTACGTCCCTCCGCCAATGAGCGGTTCCGCTGTGGGAAAAAACGTTTTACGAAGCCCAGCACGCCCATCTTGCGACTGCCAAAGGCGGGCAAGCTGATTGTCCTTGGTAACGTCACTGGCTGCTTCGGACAGAATACGCTGCCAAGAGGGGAGTGCTGGGTCCCTACGTAATCGGCAGCTGCAATGACAACGACCTCCACCAACAAACCTGCGCAACACACCGCCTCCTCCTAATCAACACCTTCTTCCGCCTCCCGATGCAAAGAAGACCATTTAGATGCAGACCCAAACGCGGCGCTGGCAGCTGATGAGCTACATTTTCATCCAGAGGCGAGCTCGACAGGACATGATCATGAAAAAACCGACCCGGAACGTCGGGGACTGGACGGATCACCGCGTCGTCATGTGCAGGATGAGGCCCCATCTAAAACCTTGCAGGAATCCACAACGCAAGCGATCACTAGGTAAGTAAAATACTGTCCAATTAAATTGCTATGCTTACCGCTTATATTTTAGTCGTTAATTTGCCCAGCATCTGGAAGAACTGCCAGGCCTGGAATACGACACCACCGTGAAGGCTCACTGGTGTCAACGTTGGAACGCTATTCACTCATTTGGCTTGATTCCCTCGGATTACACGTCGTCTGACATCAGACAACTATTCACCGGAAAGCACTGGCTGCCCAAGGTCTGCATGAACCATAGAACCAACGTCAACAAAGCGACCTTCTTCCACTGTTGCCACCTCATGTATCAGCAAATGATGGAGATACGGGATGCCTGGATTACTCGCGAGATCGAGAAACTCTAGAGACTTTATCGCCGCAATAAAGCCGATAATTTCTTAGCATCATTCAAGGAGGTCTGTGGGCTCCAATCAAAGGAATCGCACTGATTCGCAGCCCCGATGAGACGACGCTACTGACATGGAAATCACAGACTGATAAGAAGAAGAAGAGACCGTTGGAACAGAGGCTTTATTCGCCTGACGTTTCGGAATCTCACTGCTTCACAGATTTTGAAGCACTGGGTTGAGAACTTTAGAAAAGTTCTTAACCGTCCACAAACAATTCGCCACACCGCCGCCTTCTATCTCATAAAACAACTCGCCAGGGAGAAATCACCACAATTGGGCGCATTTCTGGCGGAAGTCTTTAGGCACGGCGGTTTCTGGCCGATGGATCAGCTCATAACGCTATTCTAGGAGATGCGACTCCGAGGAAAAGTTCCTTAGGACTTCAGAAGTGCGACGGTCGTTCTTTTCTATGTGTGAAAAGGGAACAGTTAACTATGTGATAACCACAAAGGAGTCTTCCTGCTCAGAATCATTGGAAATATAATTGCTCAGCGGCAGCTTCAGCAGGGACTTCTTTTAGAATATCAGTGTGGATTTCGATGCCACCCCCGCGACAACAGCACAATCTTCGACGCCTGTCGGCTGGAAAAAAGTGTCGGAAAATGTGGACCCACAACTATACAACCTTCGTGGACTTTACGAAAGTCTTTGACGCGGTGAATTGCAAATGAGTGTGAAGTTCACGCAAGGGTTTGGCTGTCCTGAATGGTCTAAGCACATGATGCGCCAGCTCTAGGAGGAGGACGCTTGTGCACGTCAAGAACAATGGTGGCGACTTAGAGGCATTTGCAGTGAGCAACTGAGTGAAGCAGGGCTGTTTACTCTCTCCAAATCCCTTAAGCCTCATGCTTTCTACCGTGCTAATGAACGCCTCCGTGATGAGCGGTCCGAGATCCGCATCGCCTACAGGGCGATGATCATCTTCTCGGCCGTCGACTCATGCAGATCTCAATGCGTCTCTTCACAGCTAATGTCCTCGATCGGCTCATTTCTGACCACTGCTCATCCAACACTACGTCCGACAAAGACATGGAGCGCAGTCCAGAACTCACTACCTCCGGCCGCGCCAAATTTGGGCTGACAATCAACACGAACAAGATGATGGTCAAGCATTGATCGTCACTCAACGCTGCATGCAATGCTCCTTGCATCGATGTCAATGGCACCTAACTAGAGACCATGGGAAACTTCGCCTACTTAGGCAGCGCAGTAACACGCTGCATCAACCATGAAGTGGCTCATCGGATCTCCAAAACCAGTCAACCCTTCGGCCGGCTTCAGAACTCCGTATGAAACCTTCATGGTCTCCATCCTAAAATTAAACTGAGGATGTTCGGAACGGTTGTTTCGATATTTTTGGCGCGTTGTTTGAATGTCTGGACAATTCATGAGAAACAAGCACCGGGAGACAATCACTTTAAACTCGACTGTCTTGGTCGTATACAAAAGCTGACTTGAAAGGACAGGTTCCCTGACACAGAAGTCCTCGAACAGACTGGAATCCCCAGCATTCACACCATTCTGGAGTAAGTGCAACCACACTGGAGCGATCACCTGGTGAGGATTGAGGAAGAGGGCCTACCAAAACAACTCTTCTATGGACAGGTCGCCATAGGTGTTCACCTACAAGGAGGTCAACTCCAGCGCTGAATAATTTCTTGAAGCCACTATAGATCAACCCGAAGACTTGGAAAGACCTCGCAAACAATCGACCGGCCTGGAGAAGTTTACTGAAAACTGGAGCCGCCATCTATGCGGCCGAAGTCAAAGGTAAAACTCTTAAGTATCAGACGCCTCTTACCCGAAACGCCAATCCCCAATCACTCTCAACATGCCCGCTCCGTCACCGAACATTCCTCATGCGAATCAGTCTCGTCGAACACCTACGGACTCAATGCACCAGCTCGACAAATCCAGCCGCCCTGCTCCAATCCCCACGTCGTCCACCACAACGGCAGCCCTCACCGCTGATGGCCATCATCCCCGTGCTCCGCAGCCGTCGATCGACTTGCCATTACTTCCACGGCGACGACCGCAGGTCTCACTCTCACCGCCGAACAAAACTCTCCCGACCCCTACCACCACTCCTATCATTGCCGCCTCCATCTCCAGCGATGCGGACTCGGTATGCGTAGAAGGGGTCAATTACCCTGTCAGTAAGTGCACCGTTTCCCAGATCAGACAGCTCACCGATTCAGAAAGTGGCTGGGGACTGGCTGGGGCTGTGAAATCGACGTCGCAGCACATCTTCCTCGCTATAAACAATCTGACACGATTGAAGCTATCGTTGTGCGCTAAAAGCTGTAGTTTGGAAGGCTGCCAACTGACAGGAATAACTCACGCCTCGGCATTTGTATTTAAAAATAAGGCCAAGACCCTGTTATCTGCAAGCAGCGTTTGTGAATACGGGCCAGCATTGTGTATCGGCGATATCGTGCATGTTATCCCAGCGAGTCAATGTTAATAAAAATGCAGAGGGAATAATTGCGACCGCACTCTGTGGTTTCTACAGGTTTTTTCCCGAACCGAACACATATGAATAACTCATGCCTGTCAAAATATCGGCTTTTGGCTTCAGACGTGCGTTTGAACAGCACGACATATTTTTATGTTAATTAACGAGAACCAGCCGCCCTCTGACTTAACATGCCACAGTGATCACTGGAAACAACGCTTTAAGCGAGCAAGCAACGCAAAATGTTTTTTTTTTGTAATTCACTGATTAACGTAATGCTCCAAATGCTGTCCAGAAATTATTTTATGCCTATCACGCAAACGAAGTAAAATGTGACTCTTCTTATTGGCAAACAAAATATACCAGTGCTAATGCAATTCTGCCCTGAATATATGTTCGTATGCTTCATAACTTAGGAGACATGCACCAGCATCATTTTGGTCAATGACTCAGTCACTGATGACTGCCATATTCCTCGTCAGATGTTGATTTAGCACTTTCGGTTATATCTGCTGTCATTTATCTTCTCACAAACACTTCGGGCAGCGCCAGCGAGGATAAACCTACGGTTCGAAGTTCGACTTTGACAATCCTTGATTATTCCAACCTGTATTTAACTCCACAGGACCAATAATCACTTGTTGAAAGGATCTTTGTCTGTATGCCTTTCAAAAACATAATATTTAAGCAGAAAATGACCAGTCAACCATTTATTATTCAAATAAACTAAATGCCTAAGAATTCATTGTACCTCTCACATGTGGATTTTGTGTATACTAAAATGAGCTCAATCTGCCAAGATAGTTAGTAACCTTGTGGTAAGCGTTTGCCGACTTGCAAACCACCGTATAATATTTCTGGAAATTTAGGTAGGAGTTAACAGCATCCTAAGCTGACTATTCTAACACCATCTTGAATGAAATATGCGAAATTTACTGTACAGCTCGAGCCGCCTGCTCTTGGACATAAAAATAATGTTTTAGTCAACACCGCTCGCATGCTTTCAGATTAACTGATCTGGACCCAAGTACTGTAAGTTCCAGCCTGATTTGTTTTAAGTGGGTCATGCTTTTCTTCTTCAACCAACACGTTGATACCGCTGCAAGCACGCATAAAGCGCGGTTGCAATTTCCAATAATGCAAACACAAGTAGGTAGAAAATTGACTTTGGCTCATTCCTTGAATGAGGGGAGGTGCGACTTATTTGCATTTGAAAATTTCACTAGACATGAAATAATAAACTCCCCATGACTTCCATTAGTTTACCCAGCGAACCAAATATTAATTAACATTGTGAAATATGTTTTACATTGAAAAGAACTGTTTAGGTGGAATTGAAACCTACAGTTCACTCACGAGATAGTTCATTCACACCAGGATGGTACCTTTCAAATGTGCTTATTTCCCGCCATTTGCAAAGGTCACACCTGCCAAAAAGTATCTACGGAAATCGGACGACTTTCTCAACTCAATTTTATTCCCTTTTAAATCCAAATAGATTTTGTAAAACCGTAAAAAAATACTCCTTCTTGGTGCTGAAGATAATAAAGCATGTCTTCTTTCGTGTTCATATTCAAAGAATGTATACTTTTTTATTTTGAAATTTTATTGCTGTTTCCCTGTTTATCTCGGACGCGATCGACTTTTGCGTTGCGCTTATGGTTTTTGAGTTAAAAACTGCACACTGTCAGAGCAAGTAAATTTACGAATTGTCCTGTTATCAGAAATGCACAGTATAAAGCCCAGATAATATCACGATGAATGCGGACCATGTTACACACTTCAGAAGGAGCATAAATAAACGGAAAAAGACAACTTTGCTTGAATGAACATTAAATAATTCTATTGATAGCGTGAACGTTTGTTAAACCATAGGAAATCTTTTATTTTAGTTGAAATATTGAAGAAAACATGATTTGTCGCCATACGAATAAAGAATAGTATTTTTGAGTCTTTTCTATAATGATGAGTGAATTTCTAAGAGCATAGAAAATCAGTAGAAAAGATCGTACTGCTGCAAAAATGATGAACGCGCGATCACTTGGGCAGTACTATTGCAAGCTTAAGCTTGTGGTTTCCTATAGGAGGTCACCATTACAGACTGTGAGAATACCACAAATAATGAGCAGTTTTTCTAGCCAAACAACAGATCGCACTCACACTAACTATTCCTTTTGTAGACGACAAGAAGAGTGTGCAGTTGAAAGCCATCAGCTAAACTTGATAAACGTATTTCCATGGAAAAGCTATTGTTTAAACAAACTGGCCTTATTAAACTGAACTGTGGACAGCGCCTTTGCTAGTCAGCTCCTACAGATTACAATTTAACCGATTTGACTAAGAAGTGGTTACAAAGTGTCTTTTTTTCTGGCTAGACTACGAAAAAGATATCTTTGTATGGTCCAAAAAGGATATGAGCGAAAATGCTCTACGGTCTTAAAAGTTTATGGTTCTTAACCTGGTTAGTTGATAGATCTGTATGTCAGCATCGACGTACTTCAAGATATGCATTAAAATTTAAAAAGTCATTCAGTTTTCGGAGAAGTTTTGGAAAATTACTCTTGTGCCTCTTAGGGCTTTACTGTCAGGAAATAGCAGAGCGCCTATCCTCTTTTTGACAAGCAATGTTTGAGTTACTATTTATAAAATGACGGTAAGGTTTTAACGGAAAATTTCGGCTGGTTAACCTCAAGATACAGTATCGTCTTTCTAATGTTGCTTAATTACAAGAAATTTATGGAAGAAATTTATTTTAACGTCATCTTGTGCGCTAAATATGAATCAGTGTATGTTATGCTGGACTTACATCTTACACCACTTTCAAAACGGCAAAATAAAACCCTAACGAAAGCAGAGAACATTGGCAGTCAAATTAAAAGTTTGAGGTCTATTACCGTTTTAGCTTAAATGTTTAAAATGGCTGAGGGTGTCGATGATAAAATCCTAACTGATCAGTTCCTGTGTACGTTGTAAAACAGACAAAGGCAATTGGCAGATGTAAGTATCAAGTTACCTTCCAAAACGTAAGCTGCCTTGTAACAAAAACTCACAGACCGTTTTCGAAGTGATGTTATGAGAATTTAAACATGTAAGCCAATAACAAACAAGACAAGAGATGGTAGAAATAACCGCCTTTGAGAAGAGGTAATACCAACGCGCACGATCATACAAGTATTGCTTTCTAAGCTATTTCCTAATAAGCGTTAAATACCCATTTCTGCAATCTGTAGAAAAACCAAAATCGGCAGTCTGAGTGGAATGTTCACATAGACAGATAAAATTGTAAGGTCGTGCAAGTTGCTGATGAGTAACTGGCAGATTGCGGACTGCACATTTCGTCCCTGGATTTAAGTTGCCAATAATAAGGAAATCAAGTAGCTTCTCCAATTTTTCTCAAGAAATTACGTACAGGTATAAGGCTTACAAATGAAATCTCGAAGATGTTTTCATGCTGGCTGCAATAACCAGGATTTAGTTGACAAATGAAATAAAATATAGTAACGGACTTCTTATAAGGGACCCAGAAAGCCGGAAACGCGTTAAAGCATTTGGAGTAATAGAATTAATTTTATTTTTTTTTACAGATTAAAATGTTTGTTGTCGGCATGAAAAAGCAGACGTGTTTAATGAACAGCATTTCGGTTTGATAATTTCTTCGTCCCTCTTCATGCAGTTTGACCGTCATTTCCAAAGATGCCCACAGTGTACTCCACAGCAAGGTAAGAGCAGGGACGGTGACTTGCATGTAAAGCGGTTTATAGTAAATGTATACTTGCGCAGCATCTACCTCACTCCCTCCCCCTCCCCGCTTAAATCCGGTGTCAAAACAGTCAAGCAGACCAGAGGCGGGGAATGCGCAGGTGTATAGCGTGGTCGAGTCCGCAGCTTGGCGTTTCATTCCACATCCCTTGTCCACGCAGCAAATAAGATAAATAAATAAAGTAAAACAATTTTAGTAAAAACCCATTGGGGTTCCATCGGGATTTTAACCAACTGCAGAAGAATCGGGAGCTGGCGCGGCCGAAGCCACCCCGAGGCGTGCCAACAGACCTGGATCGGATCCCACGGAGTGGGAGTGCCATAAAGGCAACATTGAGAAGAAGCTTTTGCAGACTGACTCTTAGACCACCGGTCGGCTGTTCTACACAAACAAACTACAGTGGGCTGTCTGCGAGGTCCAAGTTATCCCGTCCTGTGGCAACCTTCCAAGCCACGGCTTTTAGTTCACCGTGATAGCATCAAGCGCGTCAGATTGTTTGTGTGGGATATATGCGCTGAGATGTCGACTAAGCTCTCTCTTCCCATTCTCAGGTCTCAGTCGCTGTCCAAACCGGTCAGTTGACAGGTGCAGGGAATGAGCCCGGTGGCTGACATATCTAGTGAAATTGTCCACGCGCGCCACATGCACGACCTGGCCCCCAAAACACAAGCACCGGGATTTCACATAACGGGGATTAAGCGGCGTACGTCTCGCATGCGTAACAGTGTCATGTCACGCTAAGAAGGAGCTGTTTCAGCTTGGCCCTCAACCCACCAGTCCGCCACTCCAAACAAACGCAGACGACTGGGCAGTCTACGTGGACTTAGTTAGGACGCCAGTCAGCAGCCCTCCAAGACATGGTGCTTGGCGCACCGTTATAGGACACACACCCAACTGACTAATGTCCTATGCCGAGCAGTCGTTATCATGCTGGATGGCGTTTCACTGTCACCAAGCCTCGCTTACCCACTTACTATACCTAGCAGCAGGTTTGGTCAATATTCGCTGACTTTTATGTATGTATCGCTAGGGAATCCCCGCAGTGAACTGTTTACCTTATTAATAGGCAGTGACTGTGAGCAGTGGAATAGGAAGCCAAAAAAGTTATGACGTCAGTGAATTCTGCATCGTTCGTCGTATTTGTCATTTCAAATTTACTTCGCGAAAAGAAGGTCTCAAAATTCATTTATTAGTGCGTGTTTTTGGGAGTCTCAAAAGTTCAACTGCACTCTAAACTGCGAATAATTCGCGACCTTGGTAGGATTCGAGCTCACGACAGGATGGGCACAGCTCGAGTACAGTCAATGTTCTAGCCCCCTAGGCTACGAGACTCCGATCGATATCCCTGCGTTTTTTCTCATTTCGGTCAACTTATCGGCTCAACCTACTGCAATGTATGGCATCTTTCGATTCTGATACAGTATGCACACTGACCGAATTGGCAAAACACAAGACTCTCAGTAGGGATTTCGTAGCTCAGATAGTTAGTGTTGTCAACAACCAAGCCGTCTCCTGTCTGCCGTGAGTTTAAATCCCCACGGGGTCGTTGGGATTTTCATAATTGTGTATTTGGTCATAGACTTATTTACCGAAATCGGCCTGGTTCGTAATCACTCAACCGATTCAAAACTTTCAGTTTTATACATCGCACTGCAGAGAAAAACAATACAAGAAATCCAAGAGTGAGACAGGAAAATGAAAAAAAGTGAAGCTGTCTGTAGCTCTTTTCTTACAGTTATTGCCTCATTTTCGGCGAGGGAAGTCACAGACCACGAAGAAACCAGTCCTCTTCACTCAATGCATGAGACTCATGAGATAGGTGATTTTACGCTATAAGACGCCTGACTGCCGGCATTATCAGCAGATTAGAAATCAGTTCAAAATCACTTTCCTTTAGATCAAAATTTAATAAAGTTAGGCTTCAAACGTTTTCCGCTCTTGTGTTTGTCTCATAGATCAATAATGTTGGAGTTGTGGGAGAATTTTAAACCCGCCAAACGATAAATTTGAAGAAAACGTAAGTAGCTCATGAGGTGGCCTCGTGGTAATACCCATTTATTTAACAGCCGAAAAACTAGTAAGGCGTTTAATCTAAAATCTCGGGAAGCGTCCAATATCTCTCGCAGTATTCCGACTCTACATAACGTAAACAGTTGGTGAAAAACTTTCGAAAGAGACGGACTGTGGGAATATTTACCGTCAACAGACTCAGGATAAGAAAAAACCCACGCTCATAAAGCATCGGCTGCCTGGAGGAATTACTTTGTAGATCCAACAATTTCGTGAACACCCCCGGTCATCACTGACTCCTGCGCCAATGCGATGGTGCTCCACTGATCAAGCATTGAAACATTTTTAATTTTTCCAGTTGCTGCATCTGTTAAGGATCGGTTGAAGGCTAATATCTCCCACACAAAAGAGAGTTGCTTCCCAAGTCAAACTGACACACAGTACGATATCGTTGTATTGAAAGACTGAAAAAGGGAAGGTAGACCAAATAAGCGATTCAACAGACGTATTCGAAAGGTCTTCAATGCGCAGCAACCGACTGAAACTGAAAGAATTAAATGGCGGGCTGCCTTTCGCATCCATTTTTTATAAATTTGGTAAATGTTTAATCCAGGGGCGGTTTACCAACTATTTTTGTCCGAGAAATAATGTCAGATGAGGAAATCTGTAAAAATCACCGATCTCTTTGACAGTTCGATTGCGCCCTGCGGTGAAACTACAAGAAGAAATTGTTCTTCTTTGTGTCTGTGAAAGTCTGTAAATATTTGTAGGGATGATCTTCAAGTTTTTGCAAATTTCAAAGATCCCTATGGTCGTTTTCCTCTGCTGCGACTTGATATTGTACGATGGGGCTTAAATAAAGAGTTAAGTCTCTACTTTTACAAGAAGGATGAGGACGTAAATAGCACCCTTTGGTGAAAGAGGTGGTCAAGGATTGTTTTACTGAAGTCACTCGTCCCGCTGTGCCTTAGGGCTCTATCTCGAGCCCAACCGGCAGCCGTACAGCGACGCGTAATATAGTCAGAGTACTATTAGTTACAAGCTCAACGCTGTATTAAAACATGGTTGATTAGTTGAGGTACCATAATAACATCCTGTCGTACAGTGCTGAACAAACAATAAGGGTTATTTAGTCGCTTCTTTTGATCGTTGCCCAGAAGTTAGCATAAACATGTCTTGATTTGTAATCGCCGATTGTTTTCTTGTCTCCCTGGGTTTAAATCAACTGAGTTGACTGCGTTTTGGTTTATCGCCACTGTTTTTGTTTCGCAAGGCAACGGGCATACAACGTGCTTCAAGAAATACATATGCGTATTCTACATATTTTTATTTGAAAATTTCCTGTTCGAAAGGAAAACAACAGCAGATATATAAGGAATTAGGAACCAAAAACAAACATATTTTAAGGAAGTAACTGGATACCTTATGAAATTTAACCGATCAGACAAACAGAAGTATGTCTCGGGTAAATAATTTAGCGTCTGTTCAAAAGATAGTGTATCCATTTTAATGGAATTCTGCCAGACTCGGTGGAACAACTGTATGGCATGATGTAACCATGCAATCAGTAGTTTCCATGCAGAAATTAATTGAACATATTTCCGGCGGCAGTCTGTTCACGGTTGTTATTTTGTACTTTTGAAAAATTAAATTAAAAGCTAGAGTATATCAGCAAGAAAATCATCTGGTGTGGAGGGTGACCTTCTAAACTTTAAATTGACCTTCGTTCTTTCACGGCGCCATAACACTGGCTGAAAGACTGAAATTCTTGGTCATATCTGTTGTATGCCATCGCACTTAGTTAACGAAAAGTGACAGTAAACGAAAGAAAAGCAATTTACGTTTATTCGGCTGCCGATTGTTTACGTCAGCGCAATCATAGACAAAGCTATACACGGTTCTGTGTGTACAACTGTCAAAACCACTTTACGACAGCTTTAACAGATCATTCCAGAGTTCACGACTGAGATGAACAGAGTCTAGCTGCCTATGAGTTCCAGATCTACGGCCCAGAGAATCAATGGTAAAATGATTAACAGTCAATGATCGAACTGTGTTATTAGAAAGTTGCGGGACACTAACCAAACTTTTTGGGCTATTGTGTAATCGTCAACTTATAATACCTCAGACCAAGATATGTGTTTGAAACTGGAACCTCAGTTAATTGCTGAAACATCCGTAACTAAAGTAGAGTTACTTATGTGCTCGATGTCAAACTGCGTTAACTTAAGACGTCAGACAGCTGGCCAGTGCCCATATAATCATTTGTTGGCGCCAATATAGGTACATCAGGAAAGATTTTAGTGAAATATCAAATTTCATGAGGTTTTAATGACGACTTAGGGAAATAGGTTAAATATGACAGAGCTTACTTCCTCCATATTCTTGCAATTTAGCCATGTACTCTTTCCTAGAGGTTGTAATTGATGAGATCCTCTCTCAGAGGTGTAAGTTTCGGCGCGGAGGAAATTAGAATTTTCCCTGTGCTCATTTGACATCCTGCAGTTTTAATCCAAGGAATGTTTGTTGTCTACTGACGAGAAAGGACTACACCCAACCTTTTCGCATATTTTTCCGTCCTGTTAACATGGTGGTCATTCAGTGGAAAAGCACTTGTCAGAAAAAGAAAACCAACGACCGAACACGCCCAAGCAACGCTCTAGCTAAACCAAGTGGTTTTTTATAATTGTCAAATTTATTAAACGTAACCAATAACGCGCAGTTTGCAATCCTTAAAAATGCATTCTTCCTTGACTCTTCCAAGTCCTCCGTAATGAAGTCAGAAAACAAAGGTAAGGTTGAACTTAGATTCGGTTTCTGAATGATTGTCCGTAATCTTAGCCTGAACTTAAATGATGATCTTTTGGGTACCATTAAATGACTTTATATTTCTTACTTAACGCAGGCTAATTAAATTCAGATGGCCTGCTAGATTTTAAACCCCCATAGTGTATTATTTTAATGCCTTAGTTTAGAGTTAGGGGTTTCATATCGAGGTGTTCCTCATGTACAAGTAGATGCAATCTGTCACAAAGTTCATAAACTTTAAACTCGTCTCGGGAAAGTGAATGAACTTCGAATTAGCTCATTATTTCGGAATATACCGTCTGCAGATATAAGCTAGGATGTACCCATAAGGATTTGAAGAATAATTAAACAGATTTCGAGCAATTACTGAACCGCTATTTCACGCCTTCAGTTCTGTCCCAGTTGGAGTTTACCCATTACTCTGTTTTGTGCCTCGGTTTTGAATTACATTACGTTCACCTTGCAGAAAACAGTATGCTCGTTCAGATCCATTACACATTTCCAGTTTGTCATCATCCGAAGTTCTCGGCTCGTTTTTTCTTCCACCGTTCATCAAAATGACCCTGTCTATAAAAATTGATAGTTAAAGCACTCGGATGCGGATTTTTCAAACACTCACTGCTTAAAGCGACAGAAAACAAGCCAATAAGTGCTAAAAAATAAATTGTTATCTAGTACTTTCAATCCAAATGGTTAAAGGCGGAACGTAATTTATCGTCCAGGCAGCTAATAAAATAAACTAAGTACAGTTGTGCATCGCATTGGCATTTCTTATGATAACTCATACAAACTT